CTTTCTTTCAGCAAATTTGCTGTTTTTTTTTCTATTCGGTGCTTTCCTGGAAAGCTTCATAACTCGGTCAAAAAAGCCACAGAAATATGTAGTACGTTTATCTCATTTTGATGAGAAAAGTCTGCTTTATCTTGCTGAATGATCAAAAATAACTTTTAACTAATTTTAAAATTTTAAGCTTTTAAATTATTAAAAGTTCACTTTTTTAATTCTTAGATTAAAATTCTTTTTGTTATGTGTCTAGTTGCTCCAAAGTACTCTCTACACAAATCTGTCATCGGATATCTTCTAGCTACTTTTGTTCACAAGAAAATCCAGAAATAAAAGTGGTCTTCAACTTTTGGCCGCAACTTTAAACGAATTTGTATGTGTTTAGCTGTAACAGACAATAACAGCAGAAATGCACATATGACTTGAAAAAATGATTTTATTCACTATACATTTTATAGATTAGGAATAATAATCAAAAAGAGAACGGTTTTTCACTGTTTGGCGAACAATTTGCATTTATTGGAGAAAATAAGTATTTGTAGCTGAAAAGAAACGGACAACATTGTTTTGGTAATGAAATTTTTATTGACTAGAATAGTAATGTGACGAATAATAAAAAAATGGTGTGATTAATTATCTATCAAATATCCATAAAAAAGCTGATTCAATATTTGTTAAATGGACATTTTTAGATCATTGAAACAATCTTTGACCGTTTTTAGGCATTTAAACTGAAAACATTTTGATATCTAAAAGTGGCAGGTATATTAACTGTTCCAAAACGACGTGCTAAGAGGGCAGTTAACGGCCGATGTGAATTTAGGTTCAAGTACATACAGTTAAATATTAGTTTTTAGGCTATGATTCACGATGAAACAAAGGATAAAAAGTAGTGACTGTTAACGGATTGTTTTTTAATAGTTTTTAGTCAATTCTTGGATCATACAGTTAACAGGTCATGCATGAGTTATTAAATGTCAATTTTCATTGACCTGGGAAGATACGGAGATCAATCTCATCATCTTTCAACACGCATTAGGAATAATGATGCATTTTACACATAATCTTTTCAAACTTCGTCAAAACCACAAAGTTCTAATAAAGAGTAAGGTCGATTAAAGAGGGCATGTTTGGCATTATTGAAATAAATATTGAAACATACTATTTCGAAGCTTATCTGTTTCACACTTTTATAATAAATAAATTGTATGATTAAAAGATACAGTCCATTCTCTATATCGTTCTCTTTTCAGATATAAAATGTTCTAATTCACCTATGAAATGCAAATCATTCATCAAACAGAAAAAACACTCTGTTTTAAACAAATATTCATATATTATAGATAATTCTTCATTCAGTTTATTGATCATCGTTTCCTTTGCTACATATCTATAATTTATACATAGCTTAAGAAGTCTTTAAGGATTCAAAATTTCTTTCTTTGATTATCATGATTTACATCTTTTCGAGAGTGTTTTATTAATATTGCACATTCATTATCATTATTTACTCACTGAAACTTGTTGAATTAAGTCGAAAATTTCCAATGGTATCGTCCCGATTCGTCGACAAATCGGACACTTCAAAGAATATACATCAAAGAATTTCAAAGGCGGGAGGGGCGGTGTGAGAGTGAGTGTCGACGAATCGGGACTGAATCCTTCCAACGGGTGTCGCATACCCAGGACTATCCTCTTTTTAAGTGGATGGATGTTTGTCCGACCTCTATGTCAGCCTTCTTTGTCTACACATACTATAGACTATGCATTACAGATATTACAATAAACTATCAAAAATGAATCGTGTACAACAGTAATATACAATAGTAATATAGCTCGAAAGTAGTTACCTCCTCATTTCTGATACAGATAGTATTTTAATGACGTTATTCTACGGTATCGGAATCTGTGGTGGTTGAATGATAAAGATATCCAGTTCACTATACGAGGCCTCTCCAACGAGTGAGTTACGGTTAGTAGGTGATGATGGTAGATAACTGATTGTGTTGCACTCCTTATCATTGGTAATAATTAGCTTTCTTATATATTATAATAAATGAGGATAGATGAGCAAATTTTTCTCGAAAGTCACCGTCAGTTTCCTTCCTCACTGTCCCTGTATTGTTCAGAAGTTAAATATTAAGTTGAAAAATCGTTTGTTCAAATCAATCAGCCATAGTTCCAATGGGTGTTGGTCAGAATGACTGTGACGTAGCGCGTCAACGAAATCATATGCAGAACTACAGAATGCCTCCAGACGTTTTTCTTGAGAAAAATAATTAAGCAAGCTCTACTAGATGGGTTTTCTCGGGATAAAGACGTTTCTATTTTTGCAATTGAGGCTTTTCTTGTAACATTTATGTACTAATCTGGCAACACTTTTAGATACCTGTTTCAGTTCTTCTCTTCGTGTATAAAAATATATCGATTTCATTCATCAACGTGTTTTGATACCAGGTAATAATATCACTACTAATAAGTCCAAATCAAGAGACAAAAAACACATTCGCTCTTCAACTTGTGCGCCAAACTCTTTTCTTGCCGACAGATTTATTATTTGAACAACAGAAAGTAAAAAAATCTCTGAAAAATAATCTTACGAAGCTGTATTTAACTCGAGTGAAATTATAATATGAAACATTTGGAAAACAAAAGTATTCAAACGTTTCAAATGGTCTATATGACATGAAGTTTTCAACATTATCATAATTTCCTCTCCGATGTAATCGTTTAGTCATTACGAATTTTTATGGGTTACTTGTTCAAAACTCATCTACAGTGGAAAGAATGCCACATAATTCGAATTTGTAAACAATGAAATATTAGTGTAATTATGTAAAACTAGATTATATGTTATTAAATAAGTTTTTTTTTGTTCATTTTTCTCTACAGGAATATATTTAGGAATAATGCGGTGTTGTCGTTGTTCAAAAAAGGTGTTAAAGGAGCAATTATTGTTAATAACAACTGTTACATCAGTAGCACTCGGTATTATAATTGGTATCGCACTAAGAACGATCAAATGTAAAACTGGTAAGATATTTAGAATGTTTCACTAAAAGATGTTCAAACTAATTTTTTGTAATCTAAAGATCAAAGAATAGATGGTTGTCGTATTATCAAAGAAGATATCACCTACATTGAATTTCCGGGAAAAATATTCATCAATATTCTTAAAATGTTAATATTACCTTTAATAGTATCAAGTATTATATCATCATTAGCCCAATTAGATGCACAATCATCGGGAAAAATGGGTGTGCGAGCATTGATCTATTATCTTGGAACAACATTTATCGCTGCAATTATAGGTATTATCTTAGTGTTAACAATAAGACCGGGAGGTCGCAGACAAAAAGTAGAAATAAATGCGAAAGCAAAAAGTGCTGAAGGAAGAACTATAGACACAATTTTAGATCTATTAAGGTAATAATAAATTAGAGAAAACATATAATAACATGAAAGAATCATATTATCAAACTTTTAGAAATCTGTTTCCAGACAATATAGTGGAAGCAACATTTCGAGCAGTGAGTCAAATTGTATTTCTTAACAACTTTAAACATAATATTCTATTTAACTTTAGAGTGGTACTGATTTGAAAATAGAAAATGTAACAGTCGGATCTTCTCTGAGTAACGGTCTAGATGCCAGAAGTATGTCCTATTTGTCTATAACACTTGTAAGATAATTTTAATTTTTGTCTTTCATATTTAGTACAATACAGAACCAAATATATTGTAAACGAAGTTAAACGTGATGGAATCAATGTATTGGGTAAGAATGATTGTATGCAGCTATTTGATCTTGACATTTATTAGATAATTATTTTAGGTCTTCTTCTGTTTTGTATAGTGTTTGGAGTAATTGTTAGTCGATTAAGAGAAAAAGCTAAAATTATAAAAGATTTTTTTAATGCAATGCTCGAAGTTGTAATGCAACTTGTGCGCATTGCAATGTTGTAAGTTTTTGTCTAATCTATTGCATATTCTAGTATTATTATTCTTAGCACATGCTATTCGGATTTTACAGATATAGTCCAATTGGTGTTTTTTTTTTAATTGTTGCAAAAATATTAGAAATGGATAATTTAGCTGATTTTGTGGGCTCATTAGGTTTATATATGGTGACCGTAATGGCTGGTTTAACGATACACGGTTTTATTTTATTACCGACACTGTTATTTTTATTTACACGAAGAAATCCTTTTAAGTATACCATGAGTATGAGCCAAGCATTGGTGACAGCTTTTGGCACCGGTTCAAGGCAAGTGGAATACTAAACAACGTTGGTATTTGAATTATAGTAAAAATCATACAATTCATAAAACAACATTTTTTATCTTTTTATAGTTCAGCAACATTACCAGTTACCTATAAATGTGTGGAAGAGAAAAATCATGTTGATCCAAGAATATCGCGATTTATGCTGCCTGTGGGCGCAACTGTCAATATGGATGGAACAGCTCTCTACGAAGCAGTTAGTATATCTGTTGCCTACGAGAGAATGAACAACTTTCGTTTAAATATATTTAAAATTTTATTTACAGGTGGCAGCCATATATATTGCACAATTGAATAATATTTCATTGAATGCTGTTAAAATTATAACAACCAGGTGAACAATGAAACAATGTGCTCTAAGACATCAATATAGTTTATGATCTATATGTTTTAGTTTTACGGCTACTCTTGCGAGTATTGGAGCAGCGTCTATACCTCAAGCAGGTTTAGTAACAATGGTAGGTATAATTCAAACGTGAAAACCAAATTTGTGATAGTAAGGTCTTATTATAGGTTATTGTTTTAAATGCATTAGGTTTACCCAGCGACGAAGTAAAAGTAATTTATGCTGTTGATTGGCTTTTGTAAGTAAACATGTTTGGTATATACTTAGTAAATTCACTCTTAGACAGCCAAATTAATCTTATAAACTAATAAAATGTATAAATTCTTTCTTATACATAAAGATATTGTTTAGATATTGTTTATTATTTAGAGATCGTTTTCGAACAGTGATCAATGTTTGGGGTGACAGTATTGGATGTGCAATTGTTGAAAAATTAAGTTCAAAAGAACTGGAAGCATTGACTATCAAAGATAAAGTACATTTAGAAGATGATGAACAAAAAAATAGTAGCAAACAAAATGATCATAATAGTGATTATGAAACATACGATAATCCAACATTTGTCGGTATGATTAAAACATATTTATAAATTCCTACAGCAAAAATTTAATAAGATACACGTCATTTACTATCCAGTGGAGGCATTTTGTCTCTCAAAGACAATAGGATTTTATTTATTATTCATTATCTCTAATTGTTACATGCTGTTTATTTGTCTCTATGTGTGCAATTGTTGTAACAAGTAATTTTAAGATACACAGTTAACTTTGTTTTTCTTATAGATGTATGTCATGGTTCTAAAAGAAATTATTTTTTTGTTTTTGTAATGTTTTAGCAAAGCTTTTCATGTATTGTTTTTTCGACATACATATTTATATACAAATGCAAAAGAAAAATAAAAGATATTACAATAAGAAACAGAATTTTGTACGAAAAAGCTTTTTAATATCATGAGACTTTAATAAGATGAGAATTTTTGTTACACGTACATGAAACTTATTTATCCTAACGATTGCATTTATGAAAAATATTATAAATGATTTTCTACTGTTCTGATACGGATTAGTAATTATGAAGAAAGCTGATTGTTTTCATTTCTACTATAACATTTTTTCTTTGTCACTTTGTCTTCGTAGAAATAAAAACCTTATGGAGATTTTTCATATAACACTAAAGGCTAACTGTAAAACAATTATGAAAAACATTCATAAACTGTTCGGAATATATTTACCAATATGTTATATCTATTTTATTAATAATTGTTCAAGTATTTGTTAAACCGCTGTTGGTCTTCTAATTGGTTCAATTTTATCGATAATTGTTGAATAATTACTATGATGTTGAGGTGATATGATTTTAGTCTGATTGTTATTTCTCAAATGTGACTGTTGTTGAGATTGT